AACACATCGAGTCATACCAAGTCAACCGGAAATGTTGGGGAAAAGGGGAAATGGACCTGTCGGCGGGAACTCAAAGGGAAAATGGATACCGCTCTTGTCCTGAGGCGACTAAGTGTTATCACTCAATATATAGTGATATATTTCAAAATGCTGCTATCTCTGAGCTTCATCTAGACTTGTTGTCGTGTGTGTACTTTTCGAAGCTCTTGACCCTTCACTTTTATAATTAAGCTATCGGCATATAAGGTCTTCGTCAGACTTTGATTATTTACAATACATTGTTGCACCAGTTGGCCTGCGCACGATACCGCGCGCGTCTCATGGCTTTTGATAAATGATTTCCTTCAAGATAACCTGAAGCGTAATCGTCTTAGCAACACAGTAACCACCCCTTTCCGAGAAATGGAGAGTACCGGTCTATCACCCCTACTAATAGCGTCATAGCCGTCTATCGAGAGCGCACATTTCTAGCAAATACCATTTGGCAACCATTTACATTAGTTTATCCATATATTAACCGAGACAGTCCAGAAAATCAAGAAAGGACCTTGAAATCATTTACATTCTTGTTTACCCCTTACCATTGTGGAATAGGGCGGAGGTGGCGCAGTGGCAAGTGGCGCATTATTTCAACGCATGGTCAGCAGAATCCTCATCCGAGAATCCCCCAGATGGCTACCGAGCAACGGCTTAGCGCAGCACTTCTCCCTCCTGTCTCACTTAAAATGCATTACTATCAGCTTTCCTATCAGTTCCGGATCGATACGCGCCTAGGAAAACGGAGCGTTCCATCCCTCCGGGGTCGGTTAATGGTACCGGACTCGTCTGGGAAGATAAAAGCACTGGCCTGTACATGGGCTGGCCACCGCAAGCCATTGTATAGGCCACATACGCACTCATTACGCCACTACGATTCTGAGTGGAATTCGAGTACGCGAGCGCATCTCTCAGACGGGATTGGTTAACTTGTGGATTGTGGAACACCTGTACTTCACTGAAGATGAAATGAGATTTATTTGCACTTCGATGATTCATCCACACCCGTCGAAGTAGGCATTTGATAGCATACCAATCGACGATCTCGTTGGCCGATATATTGCCTGATGAGATTCTACGCAAAAATTATGTTAAGCAGGTCCAAATTAACTATTTGTGCGGAAGCCCCGCTCCCAGTGGGCGGAGTCTACACCTATCACCTGCCATTAGTTTTCCCATTTTGCCGCTTGCACCTCTGCAAAATTTGAAGCCCCGTCCCTAGTGGGTGAAGCCTAGCTTGAGTCACGCGTACCCAATGAGTCGGCTTATTCCCCACTTGTTCCAACCTGTCCGAGCCGTTCCGGTTGATTTCCAAATGGGGACATATAAGATAGTTAAGACACAAAAAAAGAAAGAAAAACAGACAAAAGGACATTTGTGGTTTATATATGGTAAGGATACATCACTCAGTATCACTATCAGTTACAGTACAAAACACATCAAATCATAACAAGTCTACCGGAATTATTGGGGAAATATTGGGGGAATGGCCCTGTCGGCGGGGAAATCAAAGGGAAAATGGATGTTCTTCATTGAGGCGTCTACGTCTAGGTGTTATCACTCAATCAGTCTCAGTAGGTCACGCATCTCCTCCTTTGCATTGATTTAAGGTTTGATGCGGTATATTTTCCAAACCTCCATGATTTTCCTTTCCAGTGGCCGTACCAAATATCTATGCAAAACGCTCACATCGAGGGATGGAACGTTTCTTCCTCATGCCTAAGTGTATGGTGCCTGGAAAACTGCTGTGTGGATAGGCAGCGGGATTGACCAACGTCCTTTCAGGCGGATCTTCTGTGGTCTCGCAGTCTGTCCCACGTACTTTAACCCACATCCCCCACATTGAATCAAGTAATCAGTGCCCTGAAGTTCACAGATCTTCTCAGATATGCAGTATCGACAAGACTGCTCCATGATCGAGAGCTGGGGAGGGATGGATTTCTTCCATTCCTCACTGCGAAGATACGACTAAGTGAAAGTCATAAGGAACACAGAGGGTATAGAAATCTTGTTGCATTCTAGAAGCGCACATCCTATTTATATGAAGTCAAACGTCTTCGGAATCTTTTGAATTCGAAGTCCAGTTGTTGGTGCCAAAATTGAAAGTCCTTGAAAGCAACGGATACCCCGAGGCAATACAAGGACCTGGGTCATGCACAGAACACCTGATAGTGTAAGCCTCATTGTGCCTTTCATCAACGACAAAATGGCTCGTAAGGTGAACCGCGTCGCGAAGAACTCTCAGCTTCCCATTCGACTTGTTTTCCGACTCAAGCATCTCCTAACATCGTCCCGAGTCTGAGTCTACGAAAAACGGTGCCGCGATCAGTCTTGACGATACCGTACATCTGAGATCTGTGAACTTCAGGGCACTGTCTATTTGATA